AGTCTGAAATCTGCAGATTTCACAACAACAGCTCTCTTTTCTCAGGTCAGGAAACACATACAGCCCGTTTCTGACAGTAGTTCTACAGTAGACGTCTGTGTGTAACAGGAGAAGTGTGTATAGAAACAACCAGAAAGCATTTACACACTCTGAAAGGTCTGAATGTGATTGCATAAGAGTGATTTGTTGAATCAGAGCTGGTGTTTTTGATGACTTTAGTGCATGTGTGAAGTCTCGAACACACACACAACACTGACTCTATTCAATAGATATGGTGTTTCAGCATTACAAACCATAGAACATGCATTCATTTCCAATCAAATGCAATCACATTCAGACATTTTTAAAGCAATAGTTCACATGAAAATGACAAAGGGTACACCCTCAAGCTGTCAAACATGTGGATGAGTATATTTGTTCATCCTCACAGATTTGGAAGTGTATTATTTCATCACTTGCTCACCGATTGATCCACTGAAGCTGATAAAAACATTCAAACTAATACAAACATCAAAGTATAGTCAATTACTGTATAGAAGTCCTATTATGTAGTGCAATATTTAGTATATTATAATTATTATTCCAAGCTGTAAATGCCCCTTTGTGTGTCTCTTTAAATGCAAATGGTCTACAGATCTCCGCCCCCTTTCCAGAAGAGGGTGGAGCCTTTAAAGATCGTGCTTCAGTCACTCCTGCAACATCAAAGAAAAGCATCTGAATTTGTCTTGTCAGCTTAAACTTAATATATATGTTAGCATTAACCCAGACTAACTGGAAATGCATACAGTCAAGCTCGCAACAGGGTATATGCCGAAGCATGCTAACAAGACTTTGAATTTGTCAGTAACCTGGGTTAAGCGCTTCCGGTCAACTGTATGCCAATGCAAAAGCTGGGCATTTAAGGTCAGTTTTCTTTTAAAATCAGTGATCTCCACAGGCGGATTAATATCCGATATTAAGCGGGTCTCAGATTGTACAAGAAGCACTGCATTAAATTACATTTCCCCCGCCATGTCTTTATAATATGAGCATTTATTTTACCCCAGTATTTTCAATGGAGCTTCTGTGCTATGGCTTTTTGTCTCGTTTTAGGCTTGAGCAACTAAATGAATGCAAAGTTTATTTAACTGAGTGTATTTTAATTGCATTACAACATCGATGCTGTAAAAGGAACCGTATAAATTGGAAAAAAACATCACAATAACAGGTCACCGGAAGTTTATCAGTATGCGAAAAACACCCGATATACCTGGCAAATACCCAATAGTTCAGACCCCTGGCACATTCTGACTTAAAGTTTGTGTTCAAATGTAAATAAAATTATTCAAAAAAAGGTAATGATTCGCACTTAATTGCTTCGTACTGTTTTTATTTTCGTACATTTTAAGGGTGTTTAAAAGACACAGACGTTTCGACACAATGAGGAAGGCTTTGTGCCTTTGTGTCTTTTAAACACCCGTAAAATGTAAGAAAATAAAAACAGCACGAAACAATTGAGTGCGAATCATTACCTTTTTTCGAATAACAGCATTAATAAGATTGACGCACCAAACCAAAGAAGTTCCTAAAAAACCGCAAGCGCGCAGGGCAGACTTCAGTAACTCTACAAATGTAAATAAAAGACATAATGATTTCCACAATGATGCCTGAACTGCAGCTCCATCTGTGAGCAACTGATGTAATATTAAACTTCTCCAAATCTGTTGTGATGAAGAAACAAAGTCACAGACAAAACAAGCTCAGCATATTTTCAAGTGTGAACTATTCCTCTATGAGGCCACTGACACAGAATGCATTTTTCCATTGCATTGCGCTATTTTGCCATTGTTTTTGTACGTAAATGTATTGACGGATAAGCATTGCACTCATGGATTTTTATCTCACTGCAAGTAAAAAAAATTATAATAATTTAATCTAATTTTGGGCTCTACCATACACTCGACAATAAAATGCAGGACGTGTTGCTATTTTCAGATCAACGCAACCATTTTCCAATTGTCCACCACGTTGTTTAAATAGCAAACCCATTTGCGCCACTTTGTTGACTCATGGGTGTGCTGGTCTAGAAAAGAGGTGTGTTAAGGCGCATTGTTGGAACGTTGCTATTTTGAGGAACTAAAATAGACTGAGCAATAGACCAGCTGAAAGCCAGTCTAAAGTTCAGCGCAGAGCGCGTTAGTTGTGCGCCTCGCTTACACATTGCTGAATACACACAGGATGTACAGCGATACGCAAATATCTTTAAAGATGAAAAAGAATTAAAATATTACAAAAATTATTATTGAATTGTTATTATTATTAAATATAAAAACCACCGCCTTCATGCCTTCTTCATCTCGGGAGGCTTTTTTAGTTTATTTATGACAGTTTGCTTTAGTATATTAGAATTATTCATTCATTCATTTTCTTTGCGGCTAAATTGCTTTATTAACCTGGGGTCGCCACAGCGGAATGAACCGCCAACTTATCCAGCATGTTTTATGCAGCGGATGCCCTTTCAGCTGCAACCCATCACTGGGAAACATCCACACACTCATTTACACTCATTACAGACAATTTAGCCTACCCGATTGAGAAGGGTATAAACGGAGGTCGGAGCCAGCTCCAAGTGGGTGGGACTTAAAGCTCCAAGTGGGCTGTGCAAACCTGCAGTTTTTATTTATTTTATTTATTTAGCCCTGCAAACGGGACGGAGCCCAGGGCTCAAGGACCTTTTGGGCTCAGGGCTCTCTCCCAGGACAGCATGCCAAACTTGCTTATAATCAATCATCAGCTAAGTGTGAACTCTTCAAAAGGTTTATCCTACTTAGTTATGCGCATACGTTTTTTATGCGCAAAATGTATCCGAATTATGACGTTTCCATCAATGTTTTTTTTTAATGCTCATATGCAAAATGCGCATAAAAATAGGAAGATGGAAACATAGCTACTGTCAACATTGCTAATTGTATATTGCTTTGTTTTTGGGAGTGTTTTGTATTTTGCACTGTATTTTGCACACACGCTGCAGATTATGTGACAATAAAGGGATTTGATTTGAAAAATCTTTACATAATAAACATTCCTAAGCACTGCGTCTTGCATTTTTAGATGGAAAGATGTATTCTGTTTAAAAGGCCTCTAAGTGTATAAATACTCATCATGGTCACTGTGTAACACACACATACACACAATCATATGCACACAGTGGTCCAGCCACTAGTGCACATGAACAAACACACATCAACACACCCTTTTTTTTCTTGTACACATGTCCAAATCAAGTGCAATGCAACATCAATGGAATGCAATCTGCAACGCAACATCACATCTTCTCATGCAACTCTAGTTTTGTGTCTCGTTTTGATCATAATCACACTACTGAATTATTCTGACATGTGCAAAACGTTGTCATGTGATTGCATGGCATCTGTTCGGACAGCGTGTCACACACACACACACACATACACATACACAAACACATGCATCGGGTCTGTGGCCTGGTTGAATCCAGCACATCCAGGCTTGAGCTTCGACCCGCGCACACACACACACACACACATGAGCCCACCTCTAGAGTCCTGAGACACAAGACAGTGCGTCTCCTCCGCGTTAGGAAATAAATGTAAGGCAGCAAGGCACCTCATCCAGAGACAAACCAGTGTCTGAAGAGTTCACAGATCCAACCCCGTTCTGCTGGTGTCAGGTCACAGCCTCTCTGACCACAGAGATTGAATGTCTGACTTCTGCAAAATTTACATCTGTTAGTCCATCTATGTGCAGCAGGCTTCATAAAGTCACCCGGTGAAGGAAATGCCAGCGATGCATCAGTGTTCGGACCACTGCCGCCATTCGCTCAGACATTCAATTGGTGTTTAAAGAGGCAGTGCACCGATTATTTACTCAAACTCATGTCATTGCTAATCTGCTCAATTTAAGGCAGGGCAGTGCAGGTGAACAGAGTAAGGATGATTTGGTGAATGTAAATTAAGACAGATGTTATATGCTATGTTTAAATATGCAAATGAATCCTTTTAATTAAATATTCAGTATGTAAACAGGTAAACATTATGCCAAATTCTGAGTAAAAACCTTTTAAAATACACATAATTGCATATATATATATGCAATTGTATTAATCATGAAAGAGTTTTCAATATTTCAGCCTGATTTTATTCCAAAAAGCACAAAATAAACAAATAAATAACTTGAAGTAATATAAATATTGTGCAAATATATCTATTTTCCTTTATTATTATTATTTATATAGTGTGTGTGTGTGTAAAAGAGAATCATGTTCATAAAAGAAAGCTTTTAAAATGTTAAATAAACACTTAAAAGCTATTAAAGACATGTAAAGAAAAGTAATAGTACTAAAGCAGCTCAAAACTGACCAAATATGTGTATAATAATAGTCATAAATACATATATAATATATATATGTATGTACTAAAACATCCTTTTTAAAGCATAAACAAAAAAAACATGCAATTTAAAGCCTCAAAAAGCACATTCTTCTAAACGTCTTCCTTTGTGCGCCACGGAAGAAAAGCTCACACAGGTCTGTAATGATATGAGGATGAGTAAAGGATCACTGTAATGTTAATTATTGGTGCACTACCCATTTAAAAAGCGGCAGCTTGGCACACACACACACACACACACAGAAATGGTGCATCAAGGCAGTGATTGAGGCGACGGCCTGATGGACGCAGGATATTCAATGAAGGCACAGCAAGTCATTAGTGTTCAGTGCTGTTGTTTGGCGTTCGGAGGGAAAACAGGCACGGGTTGCACTCCATTCCCCAGCGGCAGTGCTGAAGACGCCCCGAACGCAGCCAAAAACACAGCCGACGAGACATGATGAGGAATGACAGTAATAATAAAACCTCCCCGGCTGGTCAAAGTGTAAATGCGCAGTTTAACAGGCACGACTAATTCCCGGTTTGTGGTTTTGGGGAAGGACAGAGCCGTCTCTGTCTCACTCACGGTCGTCTAGTTTAGTTTGAGTCCGTGTGTGTTCACAGTTCAGTGACGTGCAGCGGGTAGCTGGGCGGGGGGTGTGGTGCTAGCGGGGTTTTTAACCGGTGCAGGTGGCATCGGTGGCACAGCAAATGCCCCTCCAGCGGGTAACAGCGATGGCCCTCTTCATCATTCAGCTGCAGACCACAATCCTGCAAAACACACATACACAGCTCAAGTCAAAATGATTCGCCCGTCTGTGAATTTTTTCAAATATTTCCCAAATCATGTTAAACAAAGCAAGAAATTTTTCACAGTATTTCCTATAATATTTTTTCTTCTAAATAAAGTCTTGTTTGTTTTACTTCGGCTAGTTTTAAATTTTTTTCAAGCATTTTAAACCACTGCGTGTACAGACGCTGATCTGGGATCAGTTTATTGTATGGAGCACGTCTGTCAGTCAGCGCTTATACATGCATTCACTGGTTCAGAGGTTGCATATATATATTGCATATTAAAGAAAGTGGGATAGAATGGTAAAATATGGGAGAATTTCGGCTAAAACGGGAGGGTTTACGTGAGTGAAGTGAACAGGAAGTGTTTGTGGAGAAACAGTTTTGTGAGATAACGCATAACATCTTTGCAAGAGAACGCAAACCATCTTTGCGAGATAACGCAAAACTTTGCGAGAGCAAAAACGTACAAATATATATTTTCCTCCCACCCATTTTTTTTCTTTCACCCATTTTTTTTTTCACCCAGCCAATTTTTTTCTCCTCCACTACTTTCCGTAAAAAACTGATATTCAGTGCTGATTGATATATGTTATAAAATTTGTATCGGACCAGACAAAAAGCACTGCATTAAACTGCAGTTGGATATGCCAAAACTTTCTTCAGTTAAACAAAGAGAAAGCTGAAGTGATTGCGTTTGGGAACAGAGATGAGGTTCTCAAGGTGAGTGTGTACCTTGGCTCTGAGGGTCAAACAACAAAAAATAAGGTCAAGAATCCTGGTGTGACTCTGTAGTCAGATCTGAGTTTCAATAGTCATGTCAAAGCAGTCAGTAAATCAGCATACTATCATCTCAAAAACATTACAGGAATTAGATGCTTTGTCTCCAGTGAGGACTAAGGCCCCATTTACACAAGTGCGTTTTAGTTTTAAAACGGCATTTTAGATCAAAAACGATCAGCGTCCACACTAGCGCTTCACCTACGCCACTAAAAACGTATATCAAGTGACCATTCGCGCACTCTGGGCATACGCGCTGTAGTATAAACAGGAAGCATGTGTCTCGCTCCGCATTTGGTTATTGTAAGTCAACAAACACCGGTTTAACAATAAACACGATGGCAAAGAAAGCAAGAGAGGTATTTTTGCAGACAGACGACGAGTCGAGTTTTTCCTAAACGTAACACAAGAATAACTGCACAATGGCGCCTAAAACAGACAATAGTGCAAACAACGCTCCCATTTCTGTGTCCATGTTGTTTACAGTGAAGGCTGGTCTGCTGTCTTCTGGTAGCGTTAAAGTCATGTGTTATAGTCATGTGATAGGGGCTTGAAGAATAAGGGAAGGATACGCAATGACACAAAAGCCCCAATCAGGTAGTGAATCTCAGCAGCCCCGCCTCCGTTTTCAGATGTCTCCGTTTTTCTTCATCCACACTGAGACGGAGCAGCAGCGTTTCAGAATGAAAACGGCCTCTCCAGCGTTTTCAAACCGCTCTGTTTTCGACGTTTGAAAACTCCGGCGTAGTGCGGACGGATGGCGTAACCATAGCAAAACTTATGCGCTTTAAAACTAAAATGCATTAGTGTAAACGGGACCTTGTAAACTTGTTCATGCTTTTATCAGCAGCAGGGTGGATTACTGTAATAGACTCCTCACTGGCCTTCCCAAAAAGACAGTCACAGTTGCAGTTTATCCAGAATGCTGCGGCCAGGATTCTGACCAGAACCAGGAAATCAGAGCACATCACACCTGTCCTCAGGTCTTTACACTGGCTGCCAGTTACATTCAGAGTAGAGTTTAAAGGATTATTACTCGTCTATGAATCACTAATGGCCTAGGACCTCAATACTGCTGAATGGATACAAACCTAACAGATTACTCAGATTATTAGGATCAAATAAATAAGAAACTCCAAGAGTTCAGTCAAAGCAGGGTGAATCAGCCTTCAGCTACTAACAGCGCCCCCTACTGCTGAAATCAGCTTCCAGAAATGATCAGATGTGCTCCAACATCAGGCACTCAAATCAAGACTGAAAACACATCAGTTTAGCTGTGCCTTTACTGAAGGAGCACTGTGCTGCGTCCAGCAGATTGCACTATTGTGTCTGTCTTTTCTTTTTCATTCCTTTACAATCTGTTTAACACATTTTTATCCATTTTTAATTATTTCTATTCTTTGTTTTTATTTATATTTGTCTCTTTTATTCCTGTTTATGCACAGCACTTTGGATTGCCACTGTGTATGAAATGTGCTATAGAAATAAGTTTTCCTTGTCTTACAATGTTCTGTCTTTAAAATATGTAAATTTATTTTACCACAGTATTTTCAATGGCATTTTTATGTGTCTCCTTATGGCACTTGTGTTTACACGGTCGTTCATATCGATTTTTACACTCGAACACCTAAATGAATGTTTAAGTCTATTTAAATATTTATATTTTAATTAATCTACATCCTTAATGCTGTAAAAGGGACATTATGAAATTGAAAATAGACACAATGGCCAGGAAGTTTATGACTGGCTGAAAAACACTAGCTGTGTGCATACAGCCCATTGACAGAAATGCAGACTTTATAAAAAGACATCTCAGCATACAGCTAATCATCTCCCCCCTGGCAGGATGTGTACTGTAAATAAATCATTTAATGCACAACCCATTTGGGAAAATCCACAGCCAAAGGAAGGGAACGAATTAACATGATATGCAATTATGGAAGCTCATTCAACCCTGTTACAAGGCAATTTTATACAAAAAAAAAAAGCATTGAAGAAATTGTGAATTGAAAGTCACATTTTAATGAAAAAAGAAAATATAAGTTAAAGAATAATATTAATGATGCACTTTATATAATTTCATTACTTCTTATTTTACTGTGAATTAATAATACGATACAAATCTTAAGCCAAGCTCAACATGCAGTGCGTCTTCTTAACTTGTTTTTGCGTTGTGAGGATTTGCAACACGTATACTGCACATAAAATAAGCTGGTGTTTTTTGTAATTGCATGTGTTTTTTTAAATTGCAGTGTGTTAAACTCTTAGCCACCGTAGTTTTCTATAAAACCAAACCAGAAATGGAGGGTGTGTCATCATCAGCATGAACACACTCTGTCTCACTAATTAAAACCGATCATTTCTCTGGATTTGAACATTCAACAAGCCAGCAAATACAGTGCTCAGCATATATGAGTACACCCCTCACAAATCTCTCATTTAAATATATATTTTCTATAGGAAGCTTTACAATATTATATTTGTGCATATACATTAGTTTAGTCAGTACTGAAGCCAAATCTGAAGCTAATCTGACAAAATAATTTACAATAATGGTTCAAAAATGAGTAGCCCAATTTTATATGTTAGGGTAAAATTCAGTTATATATTTTCTTTTCGGCTTAGTTCCTTTGTTAATCAGGGGTCACCACAGCGGAATGAACCACCAACTATTCCAGCATATGTTTTACGCAGCAGATGCCCTTCCAGCTGCAACCCAGTACTGGGAAATGTTAGGGAAAAATCAAGAGAAACAAAAAATATATACAATTTTGTTTAAATGTTGTAGCTTGTTATTTGTTTTTGCAATATTAGCATGAATTTAATTGTATTATCTTTCCATTTCTAGAAATGTTTTGTGACTAAAATATTATTTTAATAAATATTTCTGTTTAATAAATCTGTTTTGTTCAAATGCACCAATATATATTACCCATTATATTATATATATTATATTGTACACACAGTGCCTGTAAGTGAGATTAAACCTGCAACCTTTAGCCAGTAGTTGAGTGTAATATGATGAAGTGTGTCTTACCTCACAGTGATAGCAATCTACATGGTAATCTTTATCCATAGACACCACCCGTATGGTCTCCTCTGAACCCTAACGGCACACACACACAGCTCTGGTTAACCTCGGCCAGGAACATGAATTAACTTACATTTTTTTTACATTCATGAATTAATTTATTTAGAAATGCTCGTACCTGTGCTGGCAGGATGGGCTGATTACACGAGGCACATTTAGGAGCAAAAACCCTGTGAACAAAAAGATTTTATTTGCATACATAATTATATACAGTTGAAGTCAGAATTATTAGCCCCCTGTTTATTTTCTCTCTAATTTCAGTTTAACGGAGAGCAGATTTTTTTCAACACATTTCTAAACATAATACAGGGCTCAACAATAAGGACTGCCTGATGGCCCGGGGCCAGCATGAGAGATGCTCGGGACAGTAGACAGAATCGTTACTCGCCCGATCGGGGCAGTGCTGCCTTGTCACTAAATTTTAATAGAAGGCAACATGACCACGACATCGAATTATGAGGCTAAAGGAAAACGTCTGTTTCTAACTTTGTGGAAACATTTAAATGGGTACAGCATGACGAAAAAAATGAAGGTGATGTTTTGCTTAGTTTGCCGTCAATTTTAAGTCGGCCACGTTTTGTTTTGCAATAAAATACCTGTGCAGAGTTACTGAAGTTAGTCCTGCGCGCTTGCGTTTTTTTTAGTTACTTCTTTGGTTAGGTGCGTTAATCTGATCGTTGCTATTATTCAAAAGAAGGTAATGATTCGCATTCAATTGCTTAATACTGTTTTTATTTTATTTTTTATTTATTTTTTTACTTTTTCTTACATTTTACGGGTGATAACAGACAAACAGACGTTTCGGCACAAAGCCTTCCTCAGTGTGTGACACATTCTCCAACTCCACCCTAATCTTTGAGTAATTGTTAAATGTAGAAAACTTTTAATGTCAACTGTTAGAATTTTTTGTATTGATGTACACCTGATTAGTGATGGTGGTTGATGCACTTTATCTCTGTGGAGTGAGGTCGGAAATGGGTAGAATGTTTATTGTCACTGCTGTGAAGATTATAAGTTATTGTGTGATTAATTGATAATGAAATGAGAGTGACGGTTTAACTAATTGCACACTGTGATTGACTATGGAATAAAAGGGTGGAGTTGGAGAATGTGTCACACACTGAGGAAGGCTTTGTGCCGAAACGTCTGTTTGTCTGTTATCACCCGTAAAATGTAAGAAAAAGTAAAAAATAAAAACAGTATTAAGCAATTGAGTGCGAATCATTACCTTCTTTTGAATAGCAATAAAATACCTGCAAATTTTCCACACTGCTATATTTTACTGCTAAATATTAAATATTAAAATAATTTTAATTTAATAAAAAAATATTTTGAATGTTTTATTTTTATTTAATTAAAGCCTTAAAAGTTCAAATAGGAGCATCATTTAGGAGTTATGGTTCGGTCATGTACAAATAAAAAGTATCACAATGAAGAAGTCCCTCACGTGTGGTAGTCTTTCACACAGTAGATGTTGTTCTCCACGTCCACAGTGAAAGGAACTCCGTCCAGACCCTCCTTGCAGATCACACAGCGGAAACAACCAGGGTGATACGACCTGCCCAGAGCCTGCAGGATCTACAACACACACACACACACACACACACACAGGTGAATGCACACACATATAGAAGCAAAAATTCATGCACACACACACAGGCACACACACACATGCACAGACACACACGCAGGTGAGATGGTGGTGGGCTGACGCTGCACTAAAGAGACACAATAACATCATTTCAACATCTATAAATAGACACTATAAATGACTGAAGCACGAGCAGAGGGATGCTCAAACAGATCAAGCTGCTTTCATCATCCATTCTGCCTTCCAGTCTGATTTGAACCAGTAAAACTAAATTACACGAGTTCAGTTCATCAGAGAGCCCAACAAGCACAATAATAACAGTAAAAGCCTCTTTCTTACCATCTCCATGATGAGGTGTCCACACACAAAGCATTTCTCAGCCGTCTGCTGGAAGCCGGAGTACTACACAACACAGATATAGACCTTTTTGAGGCATTTAAACAAAAACAGTAGTCCAAATGTATTTCCTGTTGTACATTTTTCATTTCTATAGCTTCCGAGAATCCAAAAAGAGCGACTTATATTGATGAATAATGTTATGACAGCTGTTTTAACATTAAGTTATGATCGAATCGCCTGAAATACTTTGATCACAAGCAGGTAATGTTCTTGGGCCTGTGACATCACCACATTGAAATCGTCTATAGTACATATGAACATATTTGACAACACACACTTATTTACAACATAAACTATGTCCAAAAAAAGTCCAAAATGTGAAAATGAAGTCTCTTATGTTTATTAAGTGCATTAATTTATTATCCTTTCTGTCTGAAATACAGTCCACTTTCTGTTGGTCATTTATAAAGCCCTGCAGTTTGAAAAATACTTATGTTTACGACCTTTTAAAACATTCATTCATTCATTCATTTAGGCGTCGCCACAGCGGAATGAATCACCAACTACTCTGTTTTATGCAGCGGATGCCCTTCCAGCACTCATACACTACTGGCAATATTATACAATTCTAATAAAAATATAAAATGATAAAATAAAATAAAATATTCATTCATTTTCTTTTCAGCTCGGTCCCTTTATTAATCAGGATTCGCCACAGCAGAATGAACCGCCAACTTATCCAGAATATGTTTTACACAGCAGATGCCCAGCACACCAACACTGGGAAAACACCCATTTACTTTCATTCACACTCATACACTACAGCCAATTTAGTTCATTAATTCACCAACAGTGCAAGTGTTTGGACTGTGGGGAAAATTGGAGCACCCACAGGAAATCCACGCCAACACGAGGAGAACATGCAAACTACACACAGAAATTCCTATAATATGATATGATATAATATAATATAACATAACATAATATGACATAATATAACATGACATGACATAATATAATATAATATAACATAATATAATATAACATAAGTTATAACATAATATAATATGACATGACATAATATAATAATATAATATAACATAATAATAATATAATATAATAATAATATAATATAACATAATATAACATGACATGACATAATATAATATAATATAATACGACATAATATAATTTAATATAATTAAACAATTATATTATTAAATTATATTATATTATTAACATAATATAATATAATTTAATAATATAATATAATAAAATATAATATAACATGATATAATATAATATAATATAACATGATATAATATAATATAACATAAGTTATAACATACTATAATATGACATGACATAATATAATAATTGTCAGGGTTCTGCCACTCTGGTCTTTGTAAATTCTTGTTTTGGTAGCAGAGCTCTGACACTACCCATGTCCGGTCCTGTTTCTGTCTCTGTGTGCGCGCGCGCCGTCAAGGGTGTATGCAGAGTGTGCGCGATGCCGCTTGATGTGGCCGCGCACGCACTGCGTCCGTCAGACGCGCGCGCTCGTGTACTAGTGTTTGTGTTTTCGTCTGTCAGCAGCGTGGTGTTTCATTCCCAGCGTCTCAGTCTTGTTGGTTTCGGTTTTGGTCGGCGCTGGGATGAAGCATGCACGCTGCGTGTGTGAGCGCACGGTGAGTTTTCATTCATCGTGTGCTCGTGTCTTGCGTCTTTTGTCAAAGCACGTGGCTCGGTGTTTACATTGTGGTCACGTGCTTTTGTCGTGTGCTTTAGTGTTGTGTTATGTGAGCGCATGGCTTGTATTGTCTCTCTGTGTCATGCGCTCTCCCGTCTATTGTCTAGTCCCACCCTCCTTGTTTACTCATTATTAGTTTGTCATGTTCACCTGTGTCAATTTACTTTTTGCTTTATAATCCCCCTCATGTTTTCAGTCCTTTGCCAGTTCGTCGTCGAAAGTTTCCTGTCCTGTTGTGTCTAGCCCTGTCTTGTCCAGCCAGTCAAGTTTGTTTGTTTGTTCATTTATTTGTTTTATTAGTTTTTCCCCCTCGGGGTTGTTTGTTTAGCCTTTTTGTTTTCATTTTATAATTAATAAAAAACCCATTATTGCTGCACCTGAGTCCTCGCTCCTTTTTCCCCTCACCAACCCTGACAATAATATAACATAATAATAATATAATATAATAATAATATAATATAACATAATATAATATGACATAATATAACATGACATGACATAATATAATATAATACGACATAATATAACATGACATAATAATATGACAATATAACAATACATGACATGATAATATAATATTATAATATAATATAACATAATAATTTAATAATATAATATAATATAACATAAGTTATAACATAATATAATATGACATGACATAATATAATAATATAATATAACATAATAATAATATAATATAATAATAATATAATATAACATAATATAATATGACATGACATAATATAATATAATATAATATAATACGACATAATATAACATGACATGACATAATATAATATGACAATATAACAATACATGACATTATAATATAATATAATAATATAATATAACATAATAATTTAATAATATAATATAATATAATATAACATGATATAATATAATATAATATAACATGATATAATATAATATAATATAATATAATATAATATAATATAATATAATATAATATAATATAATATAATATAATATAATATAATATAATATAATATAATATAATATAATAGCATGTCACACCACTTCACAACCACTCAAACACAAAAATTATGTAATTCCCACAACTCCCCAAAGCAGCACCATTAATCTATTTGAACAGGTCTCAAGGGGGCGCCGGTGCGCTCTTTCTGAGCCTTTCATTAAACATCAGCCCAGAGTCCCAGATGACCATCAGCACAATTCCTCAAAAGATCATCAGAATTGAGTGACTGAGTACTGCTGTTAAATTTAGCATCAAACATCTCAATTGTGAGACATCAGAGCTCTAAACATTTTCCTGAGGTTTTCAGAACTCCTCTGGTCACTGATGGACCAATTCACTTATAGTTGAAGGCACAGTTATTAGTATTACTACATTTGTATTTCTTCTCAAATATTCCCCAAGTGTTTAACAGAGGGATATTTTTCAACACATTTTAAAACATAATAGTTTTACTACTATATGATGACCGCATATAATGTTTTACTAGATATTCTGGAAGATACTAGTATTTTTGAGTACACATTTGAAGGCTTAACTAGGTTAGTTAGGGCAATCAGGCAAGCTATTGTATAACAGTGGTTTATTTAGAGGTCAATAAGATCAAATATATATATATATATATATATATATATATATATATATATATATATATATATATATATATATATATATATATATATATATATAATTCTTATAGGGGATATTAATATTAGCCTTAATTTTGGACAAATTAAAATTGGCCTTTTATTCCAGCCTAACTAAAAGAAATAAGACTTTCTGTAAAATAAAATAAATATATATACAATAGAAAATACTGTAAAAATCTCCTAGCTGTTAAACATCACTATATGAAAAAAATATATATATATTTCAGAAATGGAGATTATTTTTGCCCTTAACTGTACACTGCATTGAAAATACACATTTTATCAATCCTTACTTTCACTAAGGACCAAACCCACAACCTTAGTATTGCATTTGCAATAAATTTCACCTTTAGTATAAAATATAAAGATAAAAATAAGGATTAAAAAAGTTTCTATATACAGTTGAAGTCAGAATTATTAGCCCCCTCTTTATTTTTTCCCGGTTAAGATTTTTTTTTAACACATTTCAAAACATATTAGTGTTAATAACTCATCTCTAATAACTGATTTATTTTCTCTTTGCCATGATGACAGTAAATAATATTAGACTAGATATTCTTCAAGACACTTCTATACAGCTTAAAGTGACATTTAAAGGCTTAACTAGGTTAATTAGGTTTACTAGGCAGGTTAGGGTAATTAGGCAAGTTATTGTATAATGATGGTTTGTTCTGAAGACAATCGAAAAAAATATATAGCTTAAAGAGGCTAATAATTTTAACCTTAAAATTGTGTTTAAAAAATTAAAAACTGCTTTTATTCTAGCCGAAATAAAACAAATAAGACTTTCTCTAGAAGAAAAAATATTATCAGACATACTGTGAAAATTTCTTTGCTCTGTTAAACATCATTTGGGAAATATTTAAAAAAGAAAAAAACTTGAAAGGGGGCTAATAATTCTGACTTCAACTGTATATACTACTGGTCAAAAGTTTGAGGTCAGTTTTTTTAATTATTAACTTAGTTTAATCATTTGTTTAAAATTATTCTGTTCATCAAGGCGGCATTTATTAAATGTAAAAAAATTATGCTGTTTAATATTTATTTATTAAATATTTATTTATGACTTATTGTATGTATTTTTAAATGAAATTATTACTTCAGTCATTATTGGTTATATAACTATTACCATTGATAATGATGATAATAATATTAATGGATGGCATGGTGGCGAAGTGGGTAGAGCTGTCGCCTCATAGCAAGAAGTTCGCTGGTTCGAGCCTCAGCTGGGTCAGATGGCTTTTCAGTATGGAGTTTACATGTTCTCCCAGTGTTGGTGTGGGTTTCCTCCACAAGTCCAAACACATGTGGTATAGGTGTATTGAATCATCTAAATTGTCTAGAGTGTATGTGAGTGAATGAGAGTGTATGGGTTTGCCAGCGATGGGTTGTAGCTGGAAGGTCATCCGCTGCGTAAAACATATGCTGGATAAGTTGGTGGTTCATTCCGCTGTGGTGACCCCTGATTAATAAAGGGACTAAGCTGAAAAGACAATGAATGAATAATAATGATATTAATAATATATAATATTAAAGTGATTTCTAAAGGATCATGAGACTCTGAAGACTGGAGTAATGAAGCTGAAAACTCATCACTGGAATAAATGATTAAATTAAATTATAAACTACTTTTGAACGGTTATTTTATAGTCCAATAACATTTCACAAT